CCTCCTCCTGCCAGCGCGGCCAGGCCAGGAGCATCACATCCCATCTGCCGCCGGGTCGACCTCCGGGGATGAGCCCCGAGGCCAGCAGCAGCCCAGGACCCCCACGGCCGCTCGGAGACTCCGCTCGCCGGAGGGATCCCGTCGGGACGGCTTCAGCCCCGAGAGAAGGACCAGAGGGGAAAGAGAGCCGAGGGCAGCCGAGAGGAGCCGAGGCGGGAGGGGAAACGGGGCTGGAGCTCACGGAGCAAGGAAAGAGAAGCAGGAGAAGAGCCAGGACGTGGCTGTGCCACCAAGCACAGTGCTCAGGGCACCGGCATCCCAATCTGCTGTGCCCGCAGGTCCCAGCCCGCTCCCGGAGCCGGGTCTCTGCCGTCGCCTTCGGACGGGTGACACTCGGGAGCTGCCAGCGTCCCCGCAGGGCTCCTCGCCCCGGCAGAGACGGAAGAAGCAGCGGATCTGGGGGCTCAGAGCAGGAGTGGGGAAGGGCAGACGGGGTGAAGGAGCCGACTTCAGGTGCAGAGCTCTGCCAGGCAAGGGGTGAAGCGGTGGAAAGGCAAAGTGTAAGCCCACGGCAGCGCCCCCCAGGCCGAGGGGGCCGGCGTGGAGCCGCGGAGGAGCAGAGGCACTGCCCTTGGCTGGGAGAGGCCGTTTCGCAGCCGTCGCACCAGGGCTCTTCTCTTGCAGCCCCAGCACGTGCAGAAGGAAGGAGCTGATGGTGGCACCCGGCTCCTGCCCCGCTCCCGGAGGGATCCTGAGCCGACCAAACGGTTCCCAAGGGCCACATCCACCCGAACCAAGGTGTGCCAAGACAACACCGTCCTCCCGAGCCAGGAGCGTGGCCCGAGCAGGAACGCTGTGGGATGCTGCAAAGAGGAATGAAATGTCCACATCTGCTGCCGGTGCAAATTGCCACCACGGTCCCCAGCCCGCCGGAGTGGTCTCTGCTGACGGCACCAGAAAGAGCGAGTGCTCAGCCTGGGAGCCCTCGGGTGAGCAAAACCTCCTGCTGCTTTTCAGCAGCAGAAAGCTCTGGCAAAGGCTGCTCTGTGCCTGGGAGGGGGCTCGGGGCTGCCCCCCACCCTTGCGCAGCGTCCTCCGGCAGCC